TCGTACAACAACCATTAATTTCTTCTGTCCATTTACTTAATCTAAAATCTAATGGCAGAGTATTTGAACGTACTTTAAATTTAAGATTGGCCCCACTAAAATTTGTTTTCTCAAGCAAGTAATTTTCAAGACTGGGCTTATATTTAATTTTTGAATAGTGATGTAAGGAAGACTTGCTTCTTAGCTCCTCTAGCCATGTTTCATTTGCATTCTCCAGAATATGATGTTTTAAGGAAGCAAACCAACCTGAATGATCACTGGTTGGATTTTTAACAATATTATTAAACACATCTGTTTTTTCATATTTTTGAAATGTATTTTTGACATACTTAAGAAATTGGTATCGTAATTGCTTAGATTTAACATCAAGTGTCATCATTGATTTGATCATTACATTTGGCCATCTTTCTTCATTCATATTGATTATACGATCGAAAAATTTAACTCTCGATATGGTTTGTTTCTGCATCTGGCAGACCATTATATCACAGAAACTGACAAGTACCAATATTTGGGTGTATACATTTCTAGAAATCTATCTGAACATGACCAAATCGAAAATATTGTTAGAAAGGGGAATAAATTAATTTCATATGTTAAGTCGATAATTGATAACTTTGATGACTTCCATAGAGTCTATTATGGTAATATTTTATGGAAGACAATTGCTTATATTTATCAACCTTTTTTCCAAAAACAAGAACATTTGATTTTTCGAAGTTAAAATCAATTTTCCAATCCCTAGAAAAAATTCCTGCTAAATTCAGCATCTTTTTAAGGTCACTTTCACTATATATATATATATCTGTCTCTTATACACATCTAGATGTGTAGAAGAGACAGCACCAACATTATTTGATTCTAAAAGCTTTTTCAATTCATTGATAAATATACAAAAAAGTGTAGGAGAAAGGACACACCCTTGTTTCACTCCTTGTTCAATCGAAAAAGGCTCAGTGAATATATCACCAAACCTTACTTGCCCTTCAACATTTTGATATAATTTATCAATAAGTCTCCACACTCTCTGGAATCCCCTTGTACTACCAGCTGTGAGCTACTAACACGCACCCCATCATTATTTTTCAACTTCGTAAAATACACCATATTTATTCATTTATTTTTTTGTTTACTCATATTTTTTTTTTTTTTTTTTTGGTTTACTATGTAACTCTTCCTAATTGTAAAGAATTCGCGCTTGTTCCATAAGTACATGCATTTCTAACAAACATACGTGCGTTTAGGCTGTAATTCTAGCAACAACATCCAGGAAACAGGGCTAAGCAGAACAGACTCTAGGTGGCGTTAGCCTTGTGTTAAGTGATTTCAATTAAATATTAGAAATTTTATGGCTGTTAAAAGGAGAAGCGCATGCCAGAATGCTACCCTTTGAAGGTGGTTTTATCTACTTGATTCTGATTAGGGCAGTATCAGATCCAGAAATTCAAAATAAAGGTGGCCCAAGGGGGAAATTTTTACAGATGATAAGTCTAGACTGGAAACTCAGTAGACCATTATTTTTCTTTTTTTTCTCACTTAAAAAAAAAAAAAATATATAATAATAAGGGCATCCAGGCCAGCTGGGCCCTCTGAATCAAACTATGCAGTGTATTGTTAGGCAATCTTTTGTATCGCATTCTTTCAAATGCACACAGGCCCATGACTATTTGAAAATTAAAAAAAATAAAATAAAATAAATTAAAGCATAAACATAGTTTTCCAAAGACTACACGCTACAACCCGTAATATACAAGTCCATCTGACACTGTAGGCCTGCATTTAATCCTTTGCTTAACAGGGGCAGGGATATATTTTAGTCATGAAAATGTTTATGCATAACCAATAAGAACAATTTTGCAAATCCGGTAATCTAGATTTAAATATTCATCACGGTTTTAAAAAATTGAATATACACTAAGTAATGGAAATAGTTTATCAAAATAAGTATTAACAAAATAGACAAATACATAAACTTATTCTCAATTTATTCCTCTTATTTTGTCACACGACATTATAAGGAATTAAAATTATCATCACATAAATTTTGTGAAAACAGCCAACCCCTGCATCTACCTTACATCTCCATGCATACATAGGTAAATACATGGTGGGATACCTGATTGTTTTAATAAATTTGCCTTCAGTAGAACTTCATTGAAATTTTTAATGATGTTGAGGGTTTACTGATAAATCAATGATACAATTATAACAACTTGCATTTTTTTAAAGTCACCTGGTTTCAGGTACATGTGTACATTTATACACAAGAAATAAGTTTATTTAAATATGCATTAGCTCAATATTTTTTTTATATATTTGTTTGTAATTATATAAGAAAATGCAGGTAGAGGTTATATGAGAATAAATTTGAAATAAAGTAAACAAGTTACAGTAAATGATCAAAAGAGCGCCTCTCTCAAATGTAAAGCGCCCTTGAACAAGTGGTATAAAACATAATTTGCCACTCTTAAGTAGCGTTATATTTGGGATATATTTTACTTTTAATAAATGTTGCTGCATTATGAAATGTAGAACCGTCTGTGCACTTCTTGTTCCATTTGTTTTCTGCCATTGCACGACTCAACCTAATACAATCTTTTTATTGGTTAAAAGATGATGGATTGTTCCATTTAGAATTAAGGTAGACTTAAACCACTACCAAATGACAAGGATCTATTTTAGGTGCGCATAAGAACATATGTTTTTATTCACGCAATGGAGAGAATATTTTCATTCATTTAAAGATTGACTGTTCCATTCAATGGGGTTCCATGGAAATACTTTCAACTCATGAAAATATTGTTCCCATTCCACTCATAAATGTTTTGTATACTAAAGTTGCAACAAGTCAGATAAGTCTATGTATGCACAATATATAGTTCCATTTTTACACTACATTCTTTTACATTTTTAATATGTAATAAGTGTCGCTCTAGAATATGTGCCGTGTTGAAGTTTGATAAAAAAAATGTTTTATTTGATAATAAAAATAAGCGTTTTTATTCGGTCATTTACGGTATTTGTAGCCATATGACTTACAGCTAATAGCCATTATTCCCATTTTTCTTATCAACTGTTTAAATTTGATGGCTAATACAATGAAAGGGATGAAAATATTATTCTGACAAATGACTACGCCCATGTATTACATAAATAAGCAATACTCCTTCCAGTTCCTTCATTATTAGTAATTGTATTAGCATCATTTACCCCCACCTCCACCACCACCCCCTCCTCCCATGCCTCCCATGCCAGGAAAACCCCCTCCGCCGGCACTTTGTTGGAACTGTTTCATCATATTCTGGAGTCCGCCCATTCCACCTAAAAATGAAAGTAAAAACTTTAATGTGCTTGTGTTAATTATATACATTTTTTGATCAATGGTACTTGTCTTAATTTACTTGACTTTTCTAATTAAAAATATAATTTAATACTGTATTCACATGTTTTACATTGTTAAAATTTCAATGTTACATTTTTAAAGAGTTTCCCATGAAATTATATATACAATCAATAATTGATTTTATAGTATTATTTACATATACATATTTATACATATAATTTAGTATTGTTGGAACAGATTCCCTCCTAGTATTCATGGAAACTCTATGAATAAAATAAATACAGTAATTGATTTTATAGTTATTATTTATATATTTTATATACATATTTATACATATACATACATAATACGTATGCAAATATAGAATGGAGAAAACTGAAGCAAAATTATTGTATAAGTTTTATCACGAATCAAGAAATATCAACAGAGGGTGCACCACAACAAAGCTGCTGCTTATTACAGTACTTACCAATTTGGTGTAAAATCCGAGGGTCCATAGCCCTAGCGATGCTCTGGTTGAGCCTACTCATTTGGGCTGGGTTGACATTCTTTGCCATGTCACCTCCTGTAAAAAAAATACAAATTATGTATTATAATCTTGAATTTGAACGGTTTCATCGAAAATGATGATTTGACCTTCAGAGCCATATTGGCCAAGATATAGGAAACAGTAAATATTTCTATAACTTACCTTTGAAAAGACCTTTAATTCCTCCCATTTTCTTGACCATTTGAGCAAATTTTCCATATTGTGTCATCAACTCTTGAACTTCTTTTGCAGATACACCAGAACCTCTTGCAACACGGTTAATCCTGCCATTCTGTCTTGTAAATAACTTGGATCCTTCTTTGTTATCTAATTCTGTTTAAAAAAAAAAACAACATAATATGTTAAATAATATGAGTAGCATTAATAGTCTGTACAATAATAATAGAAAAATGTAGCGCTTTACAGTCTAGTGCAGCATTACGCAACCTGTGGTCCACGGACCACTTCGTGCAGCAGTTTGGCGCAGTGGGAATAGTTTGGTTTCTCAACCTCGAAGTTGGGGTTTCACCTTTTCTAAATTGGTACCTGGTGAGGTTGCCTGCTCTTGCGCCAAGATGGCAGCAACTCTTAAGCATGCATTGTGGACCCAATAACCAGCGAAAAACTTACAGCGTTTCGTATCTGTAAAGAAAGGCGCTATATAAATGACTAGATTAGAATTAGAAATTATTGGTGGTCCGTCAAATGCTAAGGGTCTGTGGGTGGGTGTGTGGAGAAATGTAAGCGGTCCTCCAAAGGCTGAGTGGTCCACCGTCGTATATGACCTATAAATCCACGAAAAGAACACTATTGTTTTTTCATTGCTTTCACACTTAGACGTGCCATGCTTATTAATGAAATATTGAGTTTACTTTATTGACGTCATTTTTTTGTTCCCAACTTGAAATCTTACACTAGGTCTAGAAATAAATCAACGACAGCCTTTGTCGGTCTCACACGCACTCTGCATGGTTGAGATTTTCACATGCAATAGATGAAATAACGAAGGGTTTTTTTTTTTTTTGGTCATCATTTGAAACTTTGCTTTGTAAAATGTTTTAGTTAACAATAAATTTCCCAATCACACATAATCTAATGTCTTGCCTATAACCTTCAGCATTTAGGCCATTTCATCAACAGACTCATCGACTATGTATTGCGCTACTATGTCAAAAGTCTGATTACTGACATTGAATATTAGTATAGGCTTATATGGAGTGGTCCGCAAATTTGCTCATGGTGTAGGAAGTGGTCCCCTGGTCCAGAAAGGTTGCATAACACTGGTCTAGTGTATACATAACCAGTAGATTATATAAAAATATGTGTATAAATTTGAGTGCACACATTTATTGAGACACAGGCCTTTGTGGAAACCATGCACTTCTTTATGTGAATATAAGTTAACAATGTGAAAGGTTATTACTGATGTCTTTGGAAATTCATGATTAAATATCAGAGAAACAATAGATTGTGTCTCAAGCTGGGTACTCACTGCGTCGCACGACAGTCTTATGACCTTCGCACGACAAATCCAACTGCGCTCCCTGTGAGTGATAGACGACGCAACATAGTCTACCGATTGTCAGTGACAGTCTCAATGGACTGTCATTCAAATTGACCCTTTGCGCGTGCATCGTTGCGCTGCGTTCTTCATAGAATCGTGTCGGCCGACAACTGTCGTGCGTAGTGAGTGCCTGGCTTCACATGACTATGCATATTTTTTTGGTCACAAGTTGTTTAAATGTTATATTCAGTATTTAGATATCCCAGCATTGTGATATTTTTAAACTGAGCAATTGGTGATTCAAAGACATTACACACAATTCAATGAACAATGTATCTTTTAATTAAGCTCTTCCCACACTCAATTTTTTTTAAAATTTAAAAAAATTGTATATGCCCATATATAGCCATGATTTGCCTATATATGGTCATGATGTGATGTCATCATGACTATATTTAGGCATGTCACATGTTTTGTGAAATAAAATTTGATAGTCAGGACAGGGCTTAGCACAAGGCTAGTTCTTCAATGGAATGTATCATTAGAAGCTACAAACGATTCTCCATTTCACAGGCCAATTCCCTTGTCCTTCATGAAAGGAGATTAAAAAACAATAATAATAATAATTCTATATTTCTCTAGGTGCTGTACCCCTGCAAGGCCTTTCTTCTGAACACTGACAGGGGCCTGGCGGTCTTGATGATCTCCACTGAAAATTTTCTGGCCTTGTCGGATAGTTTGGCACCCCCAACCTTTGAATGAACAACTTAGAGCCAGCACTTGATACTAACCTTCGTCCGTCATGCTGTCCATTATTGTCATAAGGCGTTTTAGTCGCGCCATTGACTCTTGTTCGCTACCTTTTGACATGAAATCACTTCCAAGACCTGGTATCATGCCCTAAATAAAGTAAATAAAACACTTGCTCCTTGAGTAATTTGGCAACCAAAACATTCCTTAGAAGGGATTATTACAAAAATATTAAACTTTGTAAATTACTCTTGATTCTTGATTTTAATTCTATACTGTTGTGATGTCATAGTTTATTTTATTTCAACTAAATAATATGTGAGGGTGGTTCATCCATAAAGCTTAATCTCTCTTCATTAGAAGCTACAAACGATTCTCCATTTCACAGGCCAATTCCCTTGTCCTTCATGAAAGGAGATTAAAAAACAATAATAATAATAATTCTATATTTCTCTAGGTGCTGTACCCCTGCAAGGCCTTTCTTCTGAACACTGACAGGGGCCTGGCGGTCTTGATGATCTCCACTGAAAATTTTCTGGCCTTGTCGGATAGTTTGGCACCCCCAACCTTTGAATGAACAACTTAGAGCCAGCACTTGATACTAACCTTCGTCCGTCATGCTGTCCATTATTGTCATAAGGCGTTTTAGTCGCGCCATTGACTCTTGTTCGCTACCTTTTGACATGAAATCACTTCCAAGACCTGGTATCATGCCCTAAATAAAGTAAATAAAACACTTGCTCCTTGAGTAATTTGGCAACCAAAACATTCCTTAGAAGGGATTATTACAAAAATATTAAACTTTGTAAATTACTCTTGATTCTTGATTTTAATTCTATACTGTTGTGATGTCATAGTTTATTTTATTTCAACTAAATAATATGTGAGGGTGGTCCATCCATAAAGCTTAATCTCTCTTTATTTTTAACTTTTAGTCATGAGGGGATATGCCAAATTGTGAACTTATTCACTTCTCTAAGTGGCAATCCTTTCACAAGACAAATCATAAATACATGATTCTCTACACAGACCAGTGTTAGACATGCTTAACATCTTCATTATTAATGACTTAATTCTCATCCAACAACATATGTGAGGTCTCAGCACAAAATGAGTCTTATGGTTAGAAATTCAAAAATTGAGTTTACTTTATATTTGGGTAGATCACATTATAAAATTTCATTTGGTCTTTGAATGGCTTCCTTACTATAAGTAAATCCAGAGATGTGAGCATTTAAATTTTAGGTGTATAAGAACCACATTTTGAGAAAATCAGCCTCAAAGATAAACTAACCTGTATAAGTAATATGACTACAATTACAGAATATGTGCAGAGAACACTGTTTTGGCAAGAAAATTCACTTACAAAGTATACAATCATAAAATATAACCCCTGCATCAAGTTATTTAAAAACATTAAAATCAAAATTTTGTAAAAATGTTGACTTTGGCCTGTTTTGGTGAATATCTCAATTTGATTTCACCAATGATGCGTCTCATTTCGTGGTGAGACCTCACATATGAGATGAAAATTGTTCTTTACCAAACTCTAGGATACTCAGAAATCTGAGATTAGAAGGAAACCATTCATCAAATATGTTGTTAATAATCATAAGGTAAAAATAGTGAATACTTTCATACCATAATTTGACTAAAAGGACCCATTTTCATTATGTTCTGGAACTGTTCATACATATCACGTAATGTAAATTCACCTGAAATTAATTAAAAAGAAGGAATTCAAGATATAATATTTGTGGTAAAAATAATTTTAAAAGCACTGAGAATTTGAACAATTAGGATAAATAGGATGATAATCACAAGAACAAAATGTTATTTAGAAAATAACAAGACTATAAAATCATCTTACCATGTTTTAGTTTGTTGATAAGTTCTTCATTTTCTTCTAAATTCAGTTCATTTACTTTATCAATCAAACCATGTATATCACCCATACCTTAAAGAAATTCATAAGTGCAATAGTTACATATACTGGTATTGTTATTGTCATCATTATTGAGATCATCATAAGCATGTAGATATAGTCCCTTCCCCCACTAGCAGATCCAATGCTGATGGCATTTGAGGACACACAGTGTTTGAAAAGGTGCTATAAATTTTGAAAATTAATTATTATTGTAGTTTTTTATTTATTAATTCTTATTAAAAATGTATACACAATAATATAAATTATCAGCTAGGTGACAATTAGAAATTGAGACTTTATAATTGTGAGTCTACAACACAGCCTGACAGTAATTTTTTCGCGGCCTGCGAAAATGAATTAAAAACCCTCTGTGTGCAGCCCACCAACCGTCTTTGGTTAGAAAAAACCTTGTTTTTTATGGCCCAACACCGATTATCTGTAAAATGTAATATTAAAGCTCAGCTGAGCAAGAACCCTTAAAAAAGTAGTGTGTAAAGGTTTTTGGAAGCGCACTGGAAATATCGAAGTTTGGGTGCGGCCCTCGGAGTTACACACCAAAAATTCATTTCGGCCATCTGACCCATTTTTATGGCCACCCCTGGTCTACAACATCCATGGAACTGAGATACAACAAACTGTACTTACTACCCCTACAGAGAAAATAATAACCATCTTACCTCTACCCTCCTATTTCAGACTTAACCAACAGTTTTATTATTGAGAATCTACATTCTTACCTAGAAGTTTACTAACAAAAGGTGTTGTCTTGAATTGTTCAAAATCATCTATATGTTCTCCAGTACCAATAAATATAATAGGACTCTTGGTGGCAGCAACACTAAAGAATCAAGAAAATCATATTAACAGTACTCTGATTTCATGAAGCATACAAAAGGATAATACACTTAGTTTACTTGAAAATGGCCAAATAAAATGGAGGTAAATTTTGTAATAATAGAGAATTTTAGTTATCTCATTCGAGAACCAATCTAGTGAAAGTGGTAAAAAGTACATTTAAAAATGTTTTAAGTTACGGAGTCAGTTGAAAGAACTTGGTTAAAACTATAGAGAAACCATTATTTTTCACAAATATTGGTAAGTTAGCAATTCAGCATTTATAGTGTATGTGGTTGACTTAAATAAATTAGAGCAAAATGTGTATCAGTTTATGTAATTTGGTGAAACTGGTAAGAAATATTTACTTACGCACTAAGCGCACCTCCTCCTTTTGCATGTCCGTCCAATTTTGTGATAATTACAGAAGCAACGTCTACTTTACTTTTGAAGGCACTCGCTTGAGCCTCACACGCCTGTCCAATCGTAGCATCCATCACAAAAACAATGTTGTCTGGGTTCTGAAATAACATTCAGGATTCAAGATTGTTGTTATTACTCTTACAGATTAATATTGTACTTAACAATAAAAATAGTAATCTGCCAGCGAAAAATTGTGGAAATCCCTAAAAAATGTTAATAGAACATTGAACTGTTAAGAATCAAATTACATTTCACTAGTCATTTTACTAAAGGCGAGACTTTTTTTTTTATTCCTTGTTTCGCATACTTATTTTTTTAAACATCATTGGAGGAGGGCAGAATAAAAATTAAAATAAAGTTTTGTTTTTCTTATTTAGCAAATAGTTTTTCCAAAAACATCCAGATGGAGGAGAAAATAAAATAAAATTTTATTGGTGAATGTAAAATAGGATGGTTAAATGCTCCAATTTTTTATAATTAGGAAGAAATTTACATATTTTATCTTTGGAGATTTCAAGGCAGCAGAAGGTGTAATAAATATAAAGAAAAAAATTATATGTTTTTCTGAAATTGCCACTTTAATCATGGCGGTAGGTGCGCTAATTTCCCAAGAATAAAATTATATTTTTATTCAAAATCATCAATCAAAATCTCCCCTAAGAAAAATATTACTTGTGCTAAAAGGGAAGACAGTAACAGGACATTAATCTGTTAATGCTTTTATGTAACAAATCATCAAAACAGAAATTATTGAATATTAAATTTAACATCACATTCTCCTTATAAAATCCAGAAATTCTTCTACATTATTCACTCACACCATCTAACATAGTATTTATCTTTAAAGATTCAGATTAACAAAAGGTATTTACTACATAGTCAAAAAAATCTGTTACATTATTTTCTCAGTTATAATTATTTTCTCTTATAATATATTTTCTCAGTTATAATTTACTCACAACTGCATTTGATACTTGTAACATTTCCTCAAAGAGTGAATCCTCTTGCTTATGTCGGCCACTAGTGTCCACTACAATGATCTCAAATCCTTCCTTCTTGAACTTCTCAACACCATCGGCAGCTATTACTACTGGGTCCACTTCAGTGTAACTACAAAACAACACATCATTTATGATTTAAACTAGAAATTGCAAATTGCAAGTGAAGTGCTGCGTAAAATGTTCTTCGAACAAAATTATTTATGGGAGTCAAGTGAAAATAATGAATAATAAAAATATAACAAATAATATGAGCACGACCCATTGTCTATATATTATTAGAACAGCGTTGGTACAATAGTGTTTTGTCTCTCTGCTGGCAATGGCTCGCTGCTGCTTGCGATGACTCGCTGCTGGCGAATCGATCTGCGCATGTGTATAAAATGGTATTTATTTCCGCAAACACTATGCCAGTCTACAACAAGCGTCGCCTAAATGTAATAATTAGCACGTTGAAATAGGCTAGT